GGAAAGAGAGAACTAAATTATTCCTTAATTCCTTCCATATAGACCATTATCAGGCCAATGGCAAAAGCACATCTGTCAGTCCTTTATATGACTCCCCTGGCTCCTGGACCAGGAATCCTTCTGTCCCAACCAGTGCTTATCTAGAAGCATCCAGAAGCTCCACACCCACCTCTGTGAAATTCCCCTGGATAGATCTCCGTCAAGCAAAACTCTGCACAAACTTTCCAGTTCAGCCTCACATTTCACAGTGACATCTGTTCTGGGGACACAGCCATTTGCACCAACAGCAATGTGTAGAGAAGTAACAAACTGCTTTCCCCTCCCTGGGTTCTCGAAGACGCTGCCATCTGGCTGGTATGCCGGTGATACCCATGTGTGGTGATTCACCCTCATTTTCCACTGCATTCAACAGGAGAGACTCGTGTTTTCCAAGAGTCTCTGTTTCTGGCATCTATGACCTAAGGGAGATTTTCAAAGGACTAGGTGTGACTGATGCGTTCATTAACCATGCTAATCTATCTGGAATTGCTGAGAAGCTGATTGCTTTGAAGCTTATGGACAAAAAAGGTCATTTGTGGGTCTGATGTAACTGCTGGTCTTAACCTTGCCTAGGAAGAGACTTGGACCAGGGTCAGAGTTGCTGCTGCCAGGGACAGCAGCAACTTTCCACTCCCTCCCTGACATGCTGAGTGCTGCTGCATGTCCTGGGAGAAAATAGAGGAATCACTGCAAGAGCTCTGCTGTTCATAGCAGTTCCTCCCTGAACACAGCAGCATCCTTCAGATGGTTAGCCAAGCATTAGGGCTGGGCTGAGAGATTCATGCTATCTATGTAGGCAGGTCTAGACTTGAGAAAAATAGCTTGTCTTTGCTAGAGTTAAGCAAGAGTATATTTGCCTCTGCTGAATCTTGGTCATTTTACATAATACTGCAATAAACCTTCTGGGTACTTGCACACATCATGGAAAAAAAATATCTCTGCGGAAATACTTTCTGACCAACTCTGCCTCTGTCTTGTAAGAGATAGTAGTTACATAGCAATAACTGGTGGTTATATTCCTATGTGTAGATAAATTATAAATTTACCTGGAGTGAAATCGTGTGCATTCAATTGAAATAATTAGTCATTGTTAATTAGGATGAGTGCCATGCCTTTCATCCTTAAATAACCTTCTCAATAGCTACACTGTGCCTGTTTGTCTCAGCTCCCTCTGAGAGGGATCCCAGTGTAAGTCACATACAGTACGTATATAAATCATGCCTATCCTATGTGTATATAGCAAGGGTTTAAGGAGATCTACTCTCTTCTCCCCAGCTAACGTTTTGCCATGGTAAAGATTGCCCATTTCATTCTTCCATTTGTTTTCTTGTTTTGCCTATTTTTCAAGCCATGCTAATACTTTGCTTTTCACTTTAGTAGTTTCTAAAATGCTTATCAAAGGCCTCTCAAAAAGCTAACCAGTACCCCCAACTATCCTTCATCTAATAATTTAATGAGCCCTTCAAATAATGCTGGTTAGGGTATACCTGCACTGTGATGGCATCCTCGCATCAGGATGTCCCATGCAGAGAATTCAGTAGGAGACAGCATCCTTTTTATAAACAGACATTGCTTCGGCGCTATCTTAGGTTTCCAGTTCTTCTAATATTCTGTTTTCTAAAGCTCATTTACCATGGTTATGCCAGACTACCTTGCAAAGGTCTTTTGCCCACAGTTTAGTTCAAGCCCAAGAGTAGCAAGGTCTCTACTCTTTCTCTCCCCTCAGAGCCCTAGGTGTTGGCATCATTCTGCCTGTGTGACGGGAAAATAGGCTTATAATGTTTGATGTCCAGAAAAAAATAGCTTACTCAGTCTTTGCTTTGCAAATAAATCTTATTTGCTCTGTTTAATATTTACCAGGGGACATTAACTTAATAAGGCCCAGCAAAATGAAGAATAGGGAAGAAGCTCTGTGAAAGAGAGGTCCAACACTGTAAGTACCATATTACACTTTCTTAGAAGTCTTTGAATTCATGTTGTCGCTAATCTCTGCCATTTATTGCACAATATTTAATTCTGACATTAATTTATTTTGTACAGTAACTGGAAATTATTTTAGCTTCTGGAAGCATGTTCTAAATGTTGAAAACTGGATTCAGTCAGTGATCCAGTTCCTAGCTATAGTGGCAGGATGACTGGGAGATGTGATCCAAAATGAGTACTCAACAGTCAATAACAAAGTGAAAAACAAAACCTTGTCTCTGCTCCCAGAGAAGTAAATTTAGTTGCAATCTCAGTGTCATGACTACTCCAGGTTGATGCAGGGCTAATGAGAGTAGCGTCCCTGTACCTCCAGTGTGCTTAAAGACCAAGCTACTTGCAGCCAAGTGGCCTGAAGGAGAAATTCTGCTCAAAAGCAGATTTGGGGAACTATGAAAAGAACACTTACCAGATCAAAACAAATTACCTTCATTTAGAATGTCTTTTTTTTCAGAGTCGATGTTTCTGTCCAGGATTTTAGACACGCTGAGCACAGCTCCCATGCTCAGCACTACCACAGCTTATATCTCCAGTGTTTCGTACTGGGCAGCCAGAAAAGGAGGAACCCAGAATTAAGAACTCCCCATCAAAAGTTTGCTGTAAGACCTAAACCCGGCATTAGACACAGAGCTGAGGCAGACCCTGGAGCAGAATCCCATGCTCCAGAATAAGTATACAGCTACGAACAACATTCAGATCATCTCTGTTTTCCTGCAGGCCACTGCCTACTTCATGTTTTTGAGTTTCTGTCATCTGAGATAATTATTCAGGTGAGGCACCCTGTGGAGAACATTCTTCTCCAGTATATTTCATGGTTCTTCCCATGAAAATGGCAGAAGAGAGACTGTGGGATTATGTAGAATTTGCTTATGTCAGATAAAGGAAGAGGAAAGGTCATCGAATTGTGCACACACAGCAAGGCAGATTCCACTATAGCTTTTCCTAAGCTCTTGAGTCTTGGGCTTTGCAACCTTATGGATAGTTTATGTGCAATAAAGAGAGTCAATAAACTTTCTCAATTTATCCTCAATTTGCTGAAATATTTAAGGTAATGTTTTGAAATTGTATAATTCTTGAGTTCAGTGCTGCTACACAAGAGACAGAAAGACATAAACAGTTTAAGGGGTGAGCATTTAGATGGATTTTATTCACAGATATAAATGATGTTATCTCTGTATCACTGCAGTGCTTGAAAACCCAAATCATAACAAGACCATGGCTACTACAGAAACATATCAGCACAAGTCGGTCTCTCTGCCAAAGTACTTACCAAATACATGGGGGCCAATAGGTGAACTCAGCCACACACCCAAAGGCACTTAGGAGTGCAATGAGGCCTTGCTGATCAGAGGCAAGAACTATTTCAGGCATAATACCTCATAAAAGCCTACATTGCCTATGTGACATTGCCTATTTTCCTGGCAATGTCACATGAATATCTTCCTTCCTTTGCTCATTTGTCAGAAACTGATAGAACTGACTACAAATAGACTATCCAGGAGGCCAAGTAGAAGAGTATTTCTAAATAGAGCAGTAATCCTAAAGACTGACATCTGAAAATCAGTATCTAGAATATAAAAACTATTTTTATGCAGGAAAGATAAAATTCTCTAGATCTAAAAGTTGCTTTATTCTTTCTTAACAGAACTGTTCAGGAGGAAAATGAAGTCTGCATTGTATTTGTGTTTGTTACTTCTTGGACTTCAAGTCCAGGGTCAACATGGATCCAATCTCGATGAACAGCAGGAACAAAAAATACCCCATTCCCCAGAAGACCATTTCCAGGCTGAAGGTGAAAATTTGGCTCATGTCAAGATAGCCGCCAGCAATGCTGACTTTGCATTTAGGTTTTACAAGCAGGTCAGAGAGGAGGTGGGCAACAAGAACATTTTCTTCTCTCCTTTGAGCATCTCCACTGCCTTTGCAATGCTCTCCCTGGGGGCCAGATCGAACACGCTCAGTCAGCTGCACAAGGGCCTCGCCTTCAACCTGACAGAGATAGAGGAGCAGGAGATCCATGAGGGATTTCAGCGTCTCCTCCAACTGCTGAACGACCCTCACCGGGAAGTCCAGTTGAGCATGGGCAATGCCCTGTTCATAGACGATCGACTGAAACTGCTCCAAAAATTTTTGGATGATGTCACAAATTTGTATTATTCTGAAGCTATTTCTAGTAACTTCCAGAATCCTCCAGAGGCTACAAAGGAAATCAATAACTACATAGAAACAAAAACCCATGGGAAAATAGTTGATTTACTCAAGAGTCTTGATTCAGGCACCGTGATGGTGCTGGTTAACTACATTTTCTTTAAAGGTAAGTGACAAACGTGGGTAGCAGTTAAACACATAAGCTCTGGAATTCTTACCCAGATCTGAGATATGTAACTTTTTTCACACTGTGAACCTATTCTATCACCTAATTTAAAATATATCTTTCTACTTTTAAATGACATGAGGAAATATTTGAAAGCCTGGTATGAAGAATCATTTTCTATCTGAGTAAAAAAAAAAGAAAGAAAAAAAAAAGAACTTGTAGAAGTATTGATCAATGTCATATCAATTTTAAACCAGGTTCAGAGATGAAAATGTTTAGAAGGGATGAGCTTGGGAACTTATGATCATTTGGTGAAAGGCACAGGTGTTTGGCTATACAGGACATGATCAAACACAGATGACACTTGTATGAAAGGAATAAGCCTGAAGCCTGTACAGTGCGTGTCTATGGAAGTTTTACCATTGCCTTAACAAGCAAAGGCTCAGGTCTTTTCCACGGCAACCCTCAGCCTATATTTTTCTTCTATGATTTTTATTAGAACCATTGAAATTACATACGGTTTCTTTTCATGGCCAGGGAACGAGCATCCTTAAACTGAGATAGGCTTGTTGTTACCTTTACAGTTCAAATAGAGTATTTTAAGCACCAACTAATGTGACATGCCTTTTAGTCTCTTTTCCAGTTTATTCCATTCTATACTCATTCTTTTGTCAAAAGGCTACTGGGAAAGACCTTTCAACAATTTGGCCACCAGAGACGATGACTTCTTGTTGGATGCCAAGAATTCTGTTAAGGTCAAAATGATGCATCAAAACAAAGACTTTAATATCCATAGGGATGAGAAGTTGTCTTGCTGGGTAGTAGAAATCCCATACAAAGGAAATGCTTCTGCATTGTTTATTCTGCCTGATGAAGGGACAATGAAGCAGGTGGAGGATGCTCTGCTAAAAGAAACAGTGTCTAACTGGATGCAATCACTTGAAAAAAGGTAATCTTTTAACTGCTGCTCTGTTTAAGTATCGAAAAGGCTATAACTACTCATCCAGGCAAAGTAAACCTTAGGATGTCATAACGAGTTGCTAAGCACAGCTCTGAGGAACAAGCATTGCATTGTTTCTTTAAATCAGACAAGGTATTGGGCGATTTTGTATGTAAGGGGAACCCTACCCACAACTCCCCCACTCACAGCAGTGGGAGTGCTACCAGCTGTGAGGATCCTGCACACAGGTACCTTGCCCTCAGGAGCCTGCCTTGAGTAAGAAGAACTCAGTTCAAAAGAAAATACAATTTCTTTTTCTCCAGTCTGAATGGTACTTTCCAGCCAGTCACTTTCATAAACCAGCACTGTGTCCCTGCACCACTGATCAGACTGTGGCTGGTGGGACAGGTACCTCAATTTCTGCTTCTCTAACATGGGATTTATCACTGCCTTAGAAAGCCAAGCCTTAGCTCCACAGGTATTTGAGATGGGTGTATACCTGTAACAGCTATTGCATTGAGGGATCTTGCAATAATAAACTCACATTTGTTGTTTATTTTTGAAAAGAAAAATCTACCTGGACCTTCCAAAATTCTCCATCTCTGGCTCCTATGATGTTAAGAGCCTGTTTGAGAAAATGGGTGTGACAGAGGTGTTCAGCAACCAGGCTGATCTCTCTGGAGTGGCAGAAAAAACTCCTCTGAAGGCTTCCAAAGTAAGTATGCAAACAGAGATGGTAATTAATTTGTCTGTCTCACTTACATGCAGGTTTTATCTCTGCAAATAGGCTGATCCCACTTCTGGAGTGTAATCATGGCTCACTGATGGTAATAAAGGAAGGAGAAGGTTAGGGATTAAATGGCTGTTGTTCCTACAGTTTAATATTAAATTGTTTACTGCATAGCGATCCTGCAAATTCACTTGAAAGTCTCTGAAGAAGAAAACAGATCTGGAAGGAGTAACAGGAATAATTTCACAAATAGCTGGTGTAAAATAATTAATGCATGACAACAGTCATAGTTATGACATAAGTTTGGGAATAGTCATTTTTATCCTATGTTTCATTACTGCATTATCTGAGCATCTCAGAATTTATATGGACAACAGACTTGTGGGACAGGGACAGTCCCATTTCACAAACAAGAAACTGGCACACAGACAAGTAAAGTGATTTCCCTAGTGTACCAGGGAATACATGCCTTGTGTCATGACGGAAATGATCCTTCCCTTATATTCTGCACTTTCAAGACCACCTCTGGAGTATTGCATCCAGTTTGGGGCTCCTCAGTGCAAGGGAGATGTGGACATGCTGGAGCAGAGCAAGTCCAGTGAAGGGTGAGCAGGATGACTGCGTGGCTGGAGCACAGGGTGTATGAGAGAGGCTGGGAGACCTGGAGCTGTTCAGCCAGGAGAAGGGAAGGTGAAGGGAGGTTCTTAGTGCTGTCTACAGATACCTGTTAGGAGAGTACAGAGAAGATGGACCCAGGCTCTTCTTGCAGGTGCATGAGGGTGATCAAAAACTTGGATGAGTTACTTAGAGAGGCTATGAAATTTCCATCCTTGGAAATACTCAAATCCTGACTGAATGAGACCCTGAGCAACCTTATCTAGTGTCAGAGTTGACTCAGTGTAGGGTAGCTGGTTGCACTGGATGACCTCTAGAGGTCCTTCCAACCTATATTATTTAACGATTTTGTGATTTCTCACACTGAATTATTACATGTGTAAACACCTGGATTACAGATATAGGACAAGTGAATAGATGAAAGGCAGCAGGACCTCATAAGAGGAATTTTCAGATGCATTATGGATGGACAAACGCAGAGGGCTGACCAAAGACAATGAAATAAGATCACGTGAATTTAGAAATATGAATTCACTCCACCTACTATAGAAAACCCTGTAAAGTAAAGTCGTATCAGTGGGCTGTGTTACAGAAAGACAACCTATAAAGCTTGTCACTATTGTGTCTTTGCAGAAAGAACTTTTTTGCATACACAAATTTATGCAAAATGAAAAACTTCTTCCATGTTAAATATTAAAGACAAAAATCTTACTCTGAGAAACAACAATAAATGTTATCTATGCTGCTCAGTCTCTGCAAGCAGCCAAGTTTGACTCTGCCAGAGTGCTGAAGAAAACTCTCCCTGAATTCAGAGAAAACTTTACTTGTCTTGGAAAGGCTGGACACGAGTATCTTTTTCATACTAGTTCTACATTCATTTTGTACTTTCTTTTAAAAACTACCTTCTCACAGTGTTAAAGCAAGCAAGTTTGCCCCCAGTTGCTTCTCACTCTTCTGTACTTTGATTTTAATCTTTGCTTCCCTTACAGGCAATTCACAAGGCCATGGTGGATGTTAGTGAGAACGGCACAGAGGCTGCTGCAGTGACCATGATAGAATTGGTACCATTGTCTGCACCATTTCCTCTTCCTCCTCACATCAAATTCAACAGGCCCTTCCTGATGATAATTGTTGACAAAACCACCCACGGCATCCTCTTCATGGGGAAAATTGTGAACCCAGCTGCCAAGGAAGACTAGGCCAGAGCACTTGTACTTGCCAGTGCAGAGAAGAGTGCTTGTGCACATCCCAGGGACTTCTTTGCAAAAAGGGACTAGAATTGACGCCTAATTAACAAATAAATACTTAAATATTACATGAAGTTATTCTGCACTTACAAACAGACAGTTGGGGACAAGCATGAGTGGGACATGTTTACAAAATGTCCCGGGCCAAATAAGCAGCTGTGTAATCTTCAACAGACAAACATTTCCCTACCTCACTCACTCATCACTGGTGCCACAGTCCCTCACAGGCAGATAAACCTTCCTACTCCTGGCTGAGAATATCCCTATGTCTCCCAAGTCCTGCATGTCAAGTCCTCAGCTCAGAAGCCCTTCAGCTGAGAAACCATCCTTTCCCTCCCTCTCATTTCACTGTAAATCCCAAGAGAAGTCTCCTTCCTCTTTGAACTCCTGCCAGGGCTCAGTGGCCAAGAAGGGAAACAGAAACATAAACCTGTGAAGCCTTTCCTGTCCTAGATGGTGGATGCTCCTGGTTAAAGAATAACCTTTTTCCTTCCAGCTTGACAACTGCCTCCTACCAGCTCCCAGCCCCTTGCTCCCATCTCCCATTCCTCATTAGTTGCTCCAGAGTAAGAGGCCCAACTTTTCTGGCATGGCAAGAATTTAGCCTCTGTGTCAGCTAAAGCTGCATATCATTGTGCAAATGGTCATCCTTAATGGTCTTGTGCATGCACAGTAATGCCTAGGCTCCCTAGGAGAACTGGATGTGGCAAAAACCGCCCTCAGGTTTAAGCAACTGGTGACAGCAGCCTGGGACGTCATGCCTCCGTTGTCCAAATGCCAGCTAATCATGCTGTCCTCCACCCGCTTCTGCAAGCTCAGGCTGATGAATGCCTCCAAGAGATCCCTCCCTATTAAGTTGATGTTTGGGGTGCAGCAAGATGACTCGGACACCTTCTGAGCACTGAGTAGGCAGAGCCAGTGTTACCAGCAGCATGATGTGGAGAGCTGCACTGTGGCAGATTAATATAATTTATTGCCCATTAAAAATAGAGTAAGATAGTCAGAAACAAAGACATAATTAAAAACACCTTCCCCACACCCCTCTCTTCTTCCCAGGCTCAGTTTCACTCCTAACTCTTCTACCTCCTCCCCCTGAGTGGTTCTGGGGAACGGGGAATGGGGACTGCAGTTAGTTTCATCTCTGCCACTCCTTCCCCCACATGCCCTTCCCCTGCTCCAGTGTGGTGTCCTTCCCACAGGAGACAGTCCTTCACAAACTGGTCCAGTATGGGCCTTTCCTATGGGGTACAGTTTATCAGTAGCAGACTGCCCCAGTGCAGATCCCCCATGGGTCACAGATCTTGCCAGGAGCCTGCTCCAGCATGGGCTCTCTACGGCCTACAGCTTCCTTCAGGGCGCATCCATTTGCTCTCCTGTGGGGTCCTCCACAGACTGCAATGTGGGTATCTGCTCTATCATTAACCTCCATGGGCTGCAGGGGGACAGCCTGTGTCACCATGGTCTTCTCCATGGGCAATCTCTTCTCTGGTGCCTGGAGCACCTCCTCCCCACCTTCTTCACTGACCTGTGGGGCTGCAGGGCTGCTTCTCTCACTTTTTTTACTCCTCCCCCTCACAGCTGCTGCGCAGTTTTTACCATTTCTTAAATACGCTTTCCCAGAGGCGCCACCATCTTGGCTGAGGGGCTTAGCTGTGTCCTGCGGTGGGTCTGTTGGAGCCAGCTGGAACCACCTGTGTCCAGCACCAGGCAGCCCCAACCTCTCCTCACAGAGGCCACCCTGCAGCCTGCCACTGCCAGTACCTGGGCACGGACACCGGATACACAGAAACGCAATCCTAAGTAAGATAACATTAAGTTCCCTAAGGGTAAGGATGTTTAATGGATAGGTAGAACACTTTGGTGGCACTAATGAACTGTCAGGAGCTGCCATTAGGATCCCTTCACAGCGTCATCTCAGCATCAAGAACAGGTGGGCCTCCACACACTTCACAAATGCGGTGTGAGCTAAGCGACAACACCTCCTCCCAGTGTTTCCAGTCTCAGCTCTGCTTTCCACCTGACAGGGACAGGAATCAAAACTTTACCTGAGAGGACCTGGGGCTCCCCACCGATGCTGGAGGGTTTTGGATTCTGGCTAGGCTGGGTCAGAAATGCTAAATGCTGCTGCCATTGTGGCTTGGTGTGGGAAAGCCCTGACAGGTCGTACAGATGGGAGAAAACCGGAGTGTGCCTATTTACAGTGAGAGATAATAAGGCCTTTCACGTGGGCAAGCACAGACCTTTTCACAGACCTGCGGGCAAAAAAACCCAACCTCTAGTCAACCTATTCACACAGACCTAAAGGTTTGCTTAATCCAAAGTATTTTCTCTATAATCACCCCCTTGTCTCCAGATTTTAAAGAAAGAAAACCAGCAATGCTTGAAAAACGCTCCATGGAAAATCTTAGTCAGCTATACCTGTCTAACTCATTTTCTCTCTCAGGAAAATGAAATCAATTGTTTCAGCAGTGCTTGAAGGGGCAAACCTCTGCTGCTGGAGTCAAGCCAAGGATTTCAGCTCTGCACAGGGCTGCCAAACTACAAGTCTCTTTATCCACAGCTACTAATACAGCTGCACAGTCATTGCTCCCCCGCTTTGGGAGTGGTGAGGTTTAGGTGAGCAGTTAACTGTGCCTATTTGGGACACGTTAGAGGGAAGGGAAGAATGAGAGTAAATAGGAAGTTGTTTGTATTACCTCATTTCTTCCCTCCCCTTCTGCCCACTTCTGGAAAATGAAAACAAGGAACAATCTAAGTATTTTTGTTCAGTTGTAAATATTAAATATCTGAAATAGAAACCTTTGTAAAAATTCTTGATTCTCTTCTTATCAGAACTGTGAGATTTTCTTATGGAAAATAGTGCAAATCCACTTGGTGCCCTATGGGTTAAAAGCAGTTATTTGAGGGTGGAAAAATTATTTCAGCTGAGAGGATAGTTCCCAGCAATGCTTTTGTAACTTCCCTACAACAGCAAATAAGAACAACCACTCAAAAAAGTTTTAAAAGGCAGGCCAGTGATTTCTCAAATAAGCAGTTAAGTTCAAAGACTTGGTTGAAGATTTATATGGGTTTTGGAAAGGGACTTAAAGAGTTGGAAGAGAGCAGGAGTGTTGAGCCGATTTGCTCAGGAATTTTAGCTCCATGGTGAAACTGGGGGGAGTATAGCAAGAACACGATGATTTAACAGAAAAAGTGAAAACTTTGCAGATGTTCGGAAAGCCTGCCATAAAACCAAAGGCAATGCAGTGGCCCAGCTGTAGATACCCTGAATCAGCTCTGGCTGAAATTAAAATTCCACCAAGAGGAAAACATATCACCCCAGGCCAAGATAACACCAGCAAACTGCAGAACCTTCACATTTTTGGGAGCAACATGGAAAGAAGAGGGGTGGGAGAGTAAAATCTCTCTGAAGAGGACAAGGAACCCTTGGCCACATTTAAACATCCTGATGCTCCTTGCACTTAAGGCATACTGACCCAAGAGAGACAAAACTAGGAGCCAGCACATGAAATGGACTGCCGATGTGCTGTGCCCCTGTGTTATCAGGGGATAACTAGCCTCTCCTCATCCTCCTCCAGCACAGTACCTGCAGGCAATTAGCTGAAAAACAAGGATATGGTTTTTGATCCTTGATGACTTCCCTTGTCAACCGAAACAGTAGCATCTTCCCTTGCCATACAAGAGTATTGGGCATGCAAAGTATCTGTAAGCACAATGAGGGATAAAACTAGCCTGCATTAACTTTACAATGTTTTACCTCCATTTTGCATAGATTTTAACAAATAGGTCTCTCTGTGCCTTCGTTAATCACCTATCTCTGCTACTTTTGGTGTCAAGGCCCTATCTGAGAAAACAGGCATTACTCAAGCGCTCAGAGACAGCAATGGTGTTGCCAGAGCCACAGGGAGCCTGACCTGGCACTGCCTACAGTCAGCCATAAGTGGGGACGGAGATTATCTGAGCAGTGGTCAAGTTTTGTATTTCCAAACAGTCTGACCTGGCATCCAGCAAAATTAAGGGTTTATGAGCAGCAATAAGGAACATTGTAGGCAGCAAACTAGCATATTTGAAAAGTAACATATCGCACTTCAAAGTCACTGTGAACTCTCTTGATTTCTCTGAAATGCACATATTGAAATAATAACCATAAATAGCCACCAAATCAGAAAGGGTCAGAAACAACCCCCATGATTTGCCCTTGGCTAACATAAAATTGTATATTAAAAATGTACTACAATAGCTTGTTACATCGGAGTCCTTCTGTTCTAGGTCTTTTCAAGTCCCCCTTTTTCTGTAGGGTTACAGTACCTCTCAGTTTACTAAGGTAAACCGTTATAACTGCCTTGAAAGGAAGGGAATGCATCTGGGGATCTCAGGTCCACGTGGGTTTAAGGAATTCCATAAGACTGTGGAGAAGGCCAATGCACCCACCTTCCTTGCCTGGAGACCCAGGCACTGGGAGCCCACTTGGCATGAGATATTTCTAGCAACACCTGGACCTCCTTGGTGGTTGAGAATTTGAGCAAAGAATTTCTCATGAGCCCTTGGGAAAACTGCTGGCTTAGCCAATAGCTATTATATATACAGTCCAGTGGATTTTCTTGCCAGCTATATTTCTTTAAAGATGACAGTACAGGCAATACTGGGGCAGCTTGTGACAAAGGGGCACCATCAGGTTTTTAGTCTTTTAAAACTGTAACTACTGCTAGCTCTGTTAATGCTTTCCATGAAACTTATTAGTCCTTATTTGTAAATCTGTGAGTCTTCAGGCAAGTACATCACATTCACATCAAAATTTTGCATGCCTATATGCTGTGTGGAAATCAATGGGAGATGTAGATATGTATTGACTGTACTGCAGGGGGGATTGATTTTAGCATTTAAATATGGCACTGAAAATGGAAACAGAAATCCGCAACTTCTGTCTAATCTAGGAATACAGCCATTCTTTC